GGCGCTGCCCCTTTTAAATGTCACCACATTGGTTCAAAGGGCAGCACCCCTCAGAGACCAGGATCAGCTGAGGACTCCCCAGCTGACACCGGGTTCCACGTGGCACTGCCACTTTGAAACGCCGTGGTGGTGTTTCAAAGGAGCAGCACCGCACTGCTGATCCTGGACTTAGCACCACATGGACCCTGAAGTCAGCTGGGGACTCCAGCTGCCCCTGGGCTCCAAGCGACGCTGCCCCCTTTGAAACGCTGCTGCAGCATTTCAAAGGGGCAGCACAGCACAGCTGATCCCAGGCTTAGTGCCACATGGAGCCTGGGGTCAGCTGGGGACTCCAGCGCTGCTGCATTGAAATGCTGCAACGGCATTTCATGGGGGCAACACCACACAGCTGACCCCGGGCTCTGTGCGGCGCTGCCACTTTGAAACCCCGTGGTGACTTTTCAAAGGAGCAGTGCCGCACTAAGCCCAGGATCAGCTGTGTAGTGCTGCCCCTTTGAAATGCCGCCATGGCATTTCAAAGTGGCAGTGCTACACGGAGCCTGGGCTCCCTGCGGCGCTGCCACTTTGAAGTACCCTCCACTTCCCCCTCACTTGTTGCCTCTATCTGATAGAGGCAGCAAGGGGGGAGAAGCAACTAGTCGACTAGTCCTTAACATTCCTATTCAGAATCAGAGGCAGACAGCTATAACGTGTTTAATATTCCAATGCCATGAAAAAATAAGCAATCTGGATTAAAAGTACAGCTTTGAACTCCAGATTTGACAATTGGCAACATATTTTTAAAAAAGCTTAAAAAAGGGCTGAATGGGGAGCTATTTTTGTGGTCAATTAACAAATCAAAGGGAAAGGCTGATTCACCATTTCTGTTCTCACAATATATATATATATATTTTAAAGGCAAGTACCTAAAAACTTTACTCAGACACTAACTAGCCTCCAATAACAAGGCCAAAACTGAATAGACCACAAGCACTGAATTCTCCTCCCTGCTGGGAGAGATCCATCTTGGTTAAGGCATAAGTATAGCAGCTGCAGACTCAGTGCACTGCTCATTCCCCCAGCTGTACATGCTCTGGAGGTAATAAAAGATTTTGACCTTCAACTCTGATCTTTCACCAGTGGTAACTAAATAAAAAACGAAAGGGAAAAAAACAGAGAAACAAGAAGGTGATTGACCCCTGATGCCAGCAGATATAATGAAGGCACACTTATTTTAAATACTCTCTTAATGTATCTAGAAGCTTTAGCTCTGTGAGACATTTACACCACACAGTAAAATGCATCCCTCTAATAGTAAGTAGGCAGCTTTGAGACTGTGGGCATTTAAGTAAGTTTAAGTATAATTGATAACAAATATTAAAATATGCCACTTTATTCTCCTCTATCCTCCAAACAAAATTCCAGTTGGGAAAAAGATGCTTTACTCCCAACTCCATTCTTCTGAGAATACCCTTTCCCCCCTCCCCACAAAGGCTCACCCCCGAAGCAATATGACACATGCTGGCACTTATGAGTACTGGCACCTTGACCATTTCCAGTACATGGAGCCTAAGCAGTGTTTAGATAGAGAACGCATGGGAGATGAAATGTGTAATCCTATGTCTGAAGCTCTCTGCACCGTCAAGACTTTTATATTTGAGACTCATGTTTCAGTCAATTGAATGAAGGATGCAAGAAAATGAGCCTTACTACAGGCAATGAACACCTGCTTCTATGCCTTCCACAAACAGCTTATCCAATTCACATCTCTGTTCAACAGGAGGAACCAGGAACTGGAAAACATTTCAGTTACCACATTTCTTTCATGTACTGCCAAGGCCCTGCAGATGGCAAATAGGGGCTATAAACGATACAGAATCTCAAGAAGCGAGGGGACATCAGATCACCTAATCCAGCTCTAAGCCTCCTCTTAGCTTTTGTGAAAAACCACATAATCTAGGATATCTAATGCAGGTCTGTCTCCTGGCTAAGGGCTTTATATGGGAGGTATGCGATGAGAATATGGATCTCAGCAACAACAGGGGACAGGGAATAAGACTGAGTACCTGAGCATTTTCACAGGCAAGGTGCATGGGGAAGAGGAATGAGGACGGACAGGGAACCTGGACATTCTCAGTGTTAAGGTGGAGTTCTGTACTATGGCTCTCAAACTAGACACAGAGCTGCCCTAAGCATGAGCTGCCCACAGGAGCAGAAGATGTGTAAGTGACATGTTCTGTTTCCAGAGCAATAAAGGGAGTTTTCTTTTGAATATCTTGTCTTCTCATTTCCCATTTGACATTAACATTCAACCCAACAAATGACGTTTGCAATATTATTAGAAGAAACTGATTTTAAATTATGTAAATCATTTAAATCAGTGTCCAGTAGAGACAAGACCTCTCAGCATCCTACTAACATTTTAACAAGGGGCCTCTCTCAGAGAGCTCTCCTTTATCTTGTGATAAAAGCCACCAAGTATGGGCACTGCAAAGACAATAAGCTTCTGCAAAATTCACTGGCTTTACCGCATAGAAAATATGGTCACAATTTCCAAAAGTGACTACAGATGTGATCATTGCACACTGATGCTACTGGCATTCTCAGTATATTTCTCAGATTCAAAGCACATATCCATTAGACTGTTTGTTCATGGAGCTTCATCTTTTCTTGCCTGCAGTTGAGACAGCATTGTAAGTGAGTAGTAATTAGGGGGTCTTCGGATTTTGGGCGCCCAGCTTTTGAAATACTTTGAAAAGCAAGTCCCTTTTTTTGGAGGGGTGGAGATGGGGGGATGTCTCAGATTAAGCACCCAAAAACTGAAGTACCTCAAATCGCTAGTCATTTTTGGAAATGTAGACTTAATGTCTTCTCACAATAGCAGTCAAGAAAAGATACAGTCCCTTGGGGCAAACAATCTACTAGATATGTGCTTTGAACCTCAGAAATAACCGAAAACACTGATAGCATTGGACATAGTTCATGTATGTAAACTGAACTGGGAAGGTATGGGCCCTGTATGGAGTAGGAGAATGTTTTCTTCTGGGAGAGGTTTTTTCTTGTTGAAAATATCTGACTACTGGAACAATCTGTTTCCTCCCAAAGGCAACCAATGTGCTCTGCAGAATTATTTGCATGTGCCCCATGGATAAAAGTAATCACAGGTAGGGATGAATTATTAGTATTCTCTCCCACCCCACCCCCCAAAAAAAGAGTGAAATCCATCAAATCAACCCCATCTTCCTTTTTAGATTTGGTGGTGGAATTTTTAGAAGGGGGTCTTTTCAAGCACCTAGAAGCAGATCGCTACTTTAGGCCACGTCTATACTTACCATGCCAGACATCAGTCATCTGGCATCCAATTTAATGAATCTATAAGACCTGCTAAATCGAATGCTGAAGGTGCCCCCCATTGGTACCAGTACTCCCTGATTCGCAAGGAGTAAGGCAGGTCGATGGGAGCATTTGCTCCTATCAATCTCCCACTGCGGAGTTGGTGCCAAGCTCAGCTTAAGGTAGGTCAAAACCAGCTATGTTAGCAAGCCCATCTTCCAGATCTAGTCTAGACCTAGCCTTACAATGAAATATTCCAGCTGACAGAGTGATGTTGGCAGGTTTCCATTACACATAGTTAGAGCTGACAAACAGCCTTATGATTTTACAAAGAGAAGGAACTATCATTTAGCATATTCCTCAGAAAATCCTCTTCCCTTCCTCCTCAGCCCAAAGAGACAGTATTGCCTGTTTTAATTTTAGCCGACACTAAAGAGGTGTGCGCGCATGGGGAGGTTTCTTAAGGAAGGAAACAGAGGGGAAATGCAGAGAACACCAAAAATAACTCTCACCTACTCTTCGGTGGTCCCTTGTTTGCTTGCTGCTTATGCACATGGAAAACGTCACCCAGTTCAAAGGCTTTAACCAAGTTATTCAGCCCCTTTTCTACCAGATATATTTCTGTATGTTCAAAAAGCTGTTTTGCATGACTGGATGGAGCAGGTAAATAAAGACATGTTATTTACTCCTCCTTGTAACTCAAAGACCATGTGGCACCCAACAAAATTAGTAAGAAGCAGATTTAAAACAAGCAGAAGAAAGTAATATCTTCATGCAATGCAGAGTCAACATGTGGAACTCCTTGAAAGAGGATGTTGTGAAGGCCAAGCTTATAACAGGGTTTATAAAAGAAACAGATATGTTCATATAGAATACGTCCATCAATGGCTATCAGCCAGGATGAGCAGAGATGGTGTCTCTAGTCCCTTTTTCCCCAGAAGCTTGATGCTGTACTGTTCATTCACTCTGACGCACCTGGCATTGGACACTGTCAGAAGACAGGATACTGGGTTAGATGGACCATTGGTCTGATCCAGTATGGTCATTCTTATGTTCTCCAAACCTGATTTAGTCCTGGGCACATGAAGTTCAGTATTGCAGTATACTTACCCCACTATTAACATTACCACATCACAGTGTCTGCAGATCTTTTCTCCCTGCTACAGAAACTGCTCTTCACCACAGATTCCTACTAGATGCATTTCAAACAAATAATCTGGCCAACGTAAGAGTAGAGCTGCCTTGGTGCCCTGACATCTTGTATGCATAAGTAGAGATCTTACCATGTGTGTGCCTAAAGACAGACGAATTCACAATGGCCACACAAGAGTAATGGAGAGCTGACAGAAGGCAGGAAGCCTGCTCAGAGTGATTACCAGCATGTGCTGAGTATGTAAAGCACTTCTTAAATGACACACACTCTCCAAAAGGTTTTCATAGCAAGCAATACAGCCACTGTATTTTGAGTACACTTAAAGAAATTTGTTGCCAACACTGCTTCTCAGTATTACAGGTAGATCTAATATTAGAAGGCGGTCTGGTAAAATGGGGTGGGGCTCTCATATCTAGCAATTTTTATGCAGAAACAAAAGTTCAGGTGTTTCAATCCACACATAAACCACCTTTCCTCATTCACAAGCAGGAAACAAATGCATAGCGAAAAGAAAAAAGTTTTAAGAGGTACTTACGCGGCATGATCCCCTGGCTCACCAGCTCCTCCCGTGTCCGTCGCTGCTGAAGCTTCAACTGCAGCACTGCAGGATGCCAGAGAGAGAGGAAAGAGGGAAACAGGTCAGTCGGAGACACCAGAACATGGAGCACATTTTCAGGTACATTGTATTTTCCTCTTCGGTCTCCAAAATAAGCAAGGAGCGGAAGAGAAAGCCCCCTCCTCACACCTCACTCATTTGCACTCCTGCAATTGCAGAAGTGGCCGTAAGTAGCAAGGTTTCCGTATTTGCTGTGGCTGACGAGGAGAGGAAGTTGCAAAGGGTCTTGGCAGGACGATAAAAATCCGCAAAGCACAAAAGCAAGTCCTGTTTCTCAAGAAGCTGTAGAGCACCAAGTGTCTATCCAAACCAAGAACATTTAAAAACAAACAATGTATGGACTGTGTACCAACAAGAAAAGTCCAATACTAACATTCCAAACTGCTCCTAAAATTATAATTACTGATGTGCCTGTTATTTTTATACAATATCTTAGTCACTAAAATGTATTTCAAGTGCAAGATATATGACTGATCCCCCTCTCCACCTACAAATTCTGTAGCATCCACACATCCTCAAAGTGAGGCACCTTGAGAATATCTAGAAATGCTCCTACCCCATATTCACCCATTACTGGGATTTGATTTGATTTTTTGATGACACATTAAAATGTTTAATAAAAATCTAACTGTTTCCCTTTCAAACACGAATCTTCAACATACTTATTAGAATTGCAGCATGCAGGTTACAAAGGGTGCAGTTCATCCATTACAACTTCATTCAGGAGAGAAATTGTGGGGGATGGTCAAACATCCAAGTACAGATCCAGTAAGGAGATAATAAGCTCAGAAATCAGAGCTAATACTAGTAAGTATTGGATTCCATCCCCACTTCAAATTCATGCCTTTGTCAAGATACTTTCATGCTCTACATCCTCAAAGTAGATAATCTCTTCCCATTTAAGAAAAGAGCTTTTGAAATTGTTTTAAACAACAGTCAATAGTGTCACACAGGGCCGGCCTTAAGCCGATTTGGCTGATTCGGCCGAATCGGGCCCCACGCCTAAGGGGGCCCTGCACCTGGAAGTCGGCTCCCTCGGCTCAGCTCCCCCTTACCTCCACTGCCGGCTGCTGCTGCCGTGCACGCCGTTTGCAGGTGGGCGGGGAGATGCCCGAGCACGATGTAACATCATGCCCAGGATTTTAAAACTGGAAAGTGCCACGCCGCCGCGGTGCATGCGGTTCACAGTCCAGCCCCGCAGAAGGCAGGGGGGTGGGAGAGGTGGGAGGGGCAAGAGTTTGGACGGGGTGGGAGAGGAAGGGGCTTGTAGGGCGGGGAGGGGGGAGAGAGGAAGAGGCGTGTGCAGAGCCGGCGGGGGAAGAAAGGGGAAGGTACCAAGAGACAGGCTGGAGGAGAGACAAATGCCAGGGGGCCAAGTACAGACAATGAGGAAAAGGGCAGGAGGGGAGGTGTCAGTGGGAGGAGGGACAGGGTGATGCTGGGAGAGGAGAGGGAAAGTGCATTGGGGGCTGGAGGAGAAGGTGCTGGGAGAAGGCTTCAAAAAAGGGGTGGGTATGAGAAAGGTGGGGATGGTGCAGGGGATGTGTGAGGGCACAGGGGCGTGAAGGGAACGGGGGCAGAGAGTGGTAAGAGGATGGGCAACAGGGGAAAAGAGGGCAAAGAGGGAAAGGGGAGGCACGAGGAGGGTGCAGGGCTAAGGGAAGGTGCGTGAAGCAGAAGGGCAGATACCTGCAGGGGAGGGACCAGCACCAGAGGAGAGAGGCAGGGCAGGTGTGTAGAGGGAGGGGTTAGAAGAGGAGTAGCTCACATGATCAGAGTGGGGCTACTGGAGGAGAGGGCACAGGAGGGAGAGAAAGGCTGGTGGAGGGGGGTAGGTCGCAGGAGGGCTGAGGGCAGTGAGAAGGGCAGGAGTCAGGACAGAAGAGGAGGGTGGGGGGG